AATGAACTGCCTAACTTGGCAGATCTGGACTGAGTCTTGTCAAAATGCAAGCCGTCCCATTTTTTTATTGGCTAAGAAAAATATCCCAGCATGCATTTTGTGTATTTCTGACTATAAGAGAGCGAGGTGGGAAATCTTTTTGCAATCATTTTCATCCTCTTGGGTGGATGGGTCTTACTAACATCTGTTTTGTTTTAGTTTGAATATTTTTGCTGTATTTTGGGTTTATTCCCTCCCCTATCATTTGATACACCATGAAAATTTTTATAGGAAAAAAAAAAAAAAGAAAATGTAAAAAAAAAAAAAGAAATATTATGGACTGCATAAATTTTTACATTATGGGGTGTTTTCTAGATCCCTTGTGAATTTGCAGTATTGTGGTACATGTAGGATTGTGTTATGGAGTGGTTTCACATTGGAGGCTTGTATTTGTACTAAGTCGGTCCTAAAATAGGTTTGACGTACAAAACATTAGGAACTTGATATAATAGGTAATGACGCAGAGAAATCTATTTGTGGTCGCTGATACTTTAGTATCGGACTAATGGTCGTACGGCATCGACTGACGATATTCAGTCACCCCCCTCCACACACACATGCACTGGGCATCATGTGGCACAAGGCTGATTATTTAATATGGGATCTCTGAGCCCATGGGATCGGCCCAAAAATATGCCCATTGAACCCATATAAACGGGTTCAGGGTCAGTTTACCTCCCTAAAAGAGACTCCGCCCTTCAGCATAGCCTCCTTTAGGTTCCTTCCTGCCCGAAGGCAGAGAATTCAACCGAACAGCCGGTCAGGAGGTAAACGACTGACTGACTGACTGACTATATTTAGTCACCCCCCACACACACACACACGTGGGCATCATGTGGCACAAGGCTGGTTATTTAATGTGGGATCTCCGAGCCTGTGGGCTCGGCCAGAAATATGCCCATTGAACCTGTATAAATGGGTTCAGGGTCGGTTTACCTCCCCGAACAAGACTCCGCCCCTCAGCATATCCTCGTTCGGGTTCCTCCCCGCCCAAAGGCAGAGAGTTCAACTGATCTGTCATTCAAGAGTTGAGCGACTGACTGACTCTTACTACTCCTACTTATTATAGGCAGGAGAGTCTATTAACTATAGAATAGGTGTGTTCCACTATAACAGATTGAGAGTTGATGGACAAGATCTTGTGGGGATTATATTGTATTGAATGAATGGGTCATGATTTTAAATAACTATGACTAGTTAAGTAGTAACGAATGAATGGGTCATGAGTCGGATTAACTAGAAATAGGATAGCTAATGAATATCAGCCCCCTTCTCATTTCCTATTCAGCGTTGTGCCACAATTCTGTATTATATATATAGTGCTTTCTTTTTGTCTGCCAACTGGATGCTAGTTGGGAACTTCCCCTTCAACTTTGTGCCAGAATTTTGTATTAAGAATGCAAAATAAATATACATTCCCACCCCCTTGGAAAATCAACAATAAGAGAGCGCAAAATAAGGGTATTTTGCAGGAAAAAAGTTTGGTTACCTGGTTAACAAATTTCTTCTCTTGAGTAGTTTTGTAGAGACAGATTTCTCCACTTGTTCCCACTAGTAATAAGAAATCCCAGATGAAGCTGTCAGGACAGGCCACATGTCTTCTGCAGCAACGGTTGTGAGTATTTCTTTCAGCTGTGCCTTGAAGGTAGTGGCTGCCGTAAAGGGAAAAGTGGGAAAGGGAACAAATAGGGATTGGTCAGTATTTTTCTGAGTTCTGGGACTACCAGTTGTACCCTGCTTATTTCTTCCATTGCTGCTACTGCTGAATCAAACAAAGTAAGAAAAACCCTACATGCCACAAAAGCCAACAAGTAAGATAGTTTTTTTTAATTCTGCAACGTCTCTTTAGTTAATAGAAAAAAAAACTCTTCTTATGAACAGCAATGTGATAAATTAAAAACATACAAGTAATATTTTCAAAAATATATATCAAGTGTAAATTTTTTTTTCTGTTTAACCCAAAAGGAAATAATGGCTTTATATTAAATTAGAATCTTTTGCAACGCACTGACACTTGTTGACATCCACACAATATTTAATATTGTTCAAATTCACTATTTACATTATTTAGACTATTGTCCTCATCTTTGTCACCATATTTATTACTACGTTTCTGCTGTTGTACTCTCTGGCCTTCTTCAGGTGGTTGGAATGTCAAACTGAACCCTTTATTTTGCTCACTGGGGTAGACTGTTCAAGTGCCATGTTTAATGGATGTCAGTTATCAGTTATCTCCTGTTAATTTCCCTCTGAAAGTTCTCCACTGCCTTAACCGGGTATTGAACTCGCACTCTTTGAGTCCTGTCAGTGGATCTAACTGACGCTTTTATCCACTATGCCATGTGTCCATCATCATTTTACTCTTGAGCAAGCAACATAGAACTGGCAACATGTAAATTTTTTTTTTCTGGAGCCAAATTCCACTTTTGAAGCATTTGGACTCATTATATGTTTATAGTTCTTGCAAATGCGGTCTGAAGTGGAAACTGAATTCTTGTATATATAAAAATTTAATGAAAATATATGCAAAAAATGATATTGCATTAAGTATTTGTTATTTTAATCATTAAATTGTTTTTAAGATAGTGGTAGTATTTTGTATGTTAAATAAAGCTTTTAATTTTTCCCCCCAAAATTAATAAAAATTTATTGTACTAAGCTATGCATCTGTGGTGGACATGAGACAGAACCTGGGATGAACACAACTGGTCACGACTTGCCTTGTCCCCGCCAAAAAAGAGCCCGTATTTGCTTAGCATGTAAAGCTACTGCAGTTGAAATGAGGGAGAGAAAAAAAGCACTTACCGCTCTGCCGTAATCCATCCTCGGCCAGATAATGTAAAAAAGAATGAGGGGGACTGGCATCGCATTTTTATGCAATAACGATGCAATGCATTATGGGACATGGACACAATGAATTATGGGATCACATGAAGATGCAAGGGATTATGGGTACATGAACAACTATAAAACAACTACTTTTTTTTTCCAGTCGGGAGTTCTTCGAGGGGACGTTCACGGTTGACGGCTAGAATGGGCAGTTAGTGTGATTTGGAGACAGAACTCAAGAAGGAACGACTCAAGTTTGGAATACCAGCTGGGAGAGCTTGAATTTACTCGCTGGTTACTGTTTTCTTCATTCGCCTCAACATCCTAGTAAAATTAATTGTACTTTTGTTTATTGTTATCTGTTTGCACTTTGTCCCAAAATTTGGTTTGGATCAGTCAATGTATGGCTATTTTAGAGGGTATGATGTACAGATGGACAAACAGAGGTCACAGAATTTTATATATAAACTATGCAGGCACCTCTCAAAAAATTAGTTTTTGATTTTTTTTATTAAATTATTTTTGGTCCAGAACAAATTTTCCATATGTCCACCCTTGACATTGAATAATTTTTTTTATTAAAATAACATCAAGGATTTGTTTTATATAACTGTAAAAAAATCTTTGGTGACCCCCTCTCCAAATTATAATGTACAACTGAGATATTGAAATGAGGCTGACCCCCACCTCCCCCGCCAAATATTCCCACAAAGTTTTCTAATAAAATAACCTATTCTGTATACAATTCATTCATTACCGAGTAAAGTGCTGAAAATTTAATTTAAATCTGATTCTTTGTAATTTTTTAAAAACAGGGTGGCATTTTTATTTGCTTTCATTTCAGCAAAAACCGTATCCCTTTTTGTGGTACCTAATATATAACATAGTAATTGTGAGTTCAATTCCTGGGCCAGGCAGTGTAGACTTTGGACTTAGTGAAAACTGGCAAGCAATAGCTGAGCAGTGCTAAAAATAAGAACGAGATAACTCTAAACTTGGGCAGTGGAAGGAGAACAGTCTACCCCCATAGATTAAATAAAGTGCTCAGTTTGAAATTTTCAGTAGATTACCTAGATTGATATACACCTGATGAAGGCTGAAGGGAATAATGGCCAAAACGTGATAACAACAAATATGAGCCCAGGTGTAAATAGTAGAAAGAAAATTATTTTTCATTTTCTTATCATTAACAGAGATTCTAAGAGGCATTTTTTTTTTTTTTTATTTATTTTTTTTTTTTTTTTTTTGACACTTCAGCAGCCAAATGATCTACTCATTTCCAGGATTTTTTCAAATTTCCAGAATTTTATATTGATGAGAGAAAATAAAAATAGTAAGGCTCCAATCCAAAACAATAAAAAATCTGGGGTCAAGGGTTGTAAATGAATCTCACATGTCCAAAATCAAAAAAATGGCAAATCAAAAGGGATCAAAAGTCTCTATCCAAAATTTTCAGCACACAACTACCTTTTTCCCCTCACAAAGAACCAGTCCTCCAAAGTAGTGTTCTTTTACTGGGGTAAGAAATGCTGTGTCTTGTTGACACTGTTAAGGAGTAATAAAGGTTGTGATTGGTCGAGACTAATAGGAAATAAGAAAGGTTGTGATTGGTTGAAACTGATTGGGAATAAGAAAGGTTGTGATTGGTTGAAACTGGTATGGAGTAAGAAAGGTTGTTATTAGTCAAGACTTGGAGGGTGTAAGAAAGGTTGTGATTGGTTAAGACTGATAGCGAATAAGTAAGTTTGTAAATGGTCAAGAGTGGTATGAAGCAAGAAAGTTTGTAATTAGTCAAGACTGGTAGGGAGTAAGAAAGGTTGTCATTGGTAATGACTGGTAGTGAAGTGCGAACAATTACCATTTTTTGATGCCAACTAAACTTGAACCAATTTTTTTTTAACTTTTCTTTTTTTTGACATAGCATATGTTGAAATACCTTTATAATATTCAAAATCCTATGTTACTCTCCAAAATTTCCAATTATCCACCATTTTTTGTTCAGTTGTTCATCGCACATCCAACAGTTGAAGTTGCCCACCTGTGGGCAACCCTATTTTAAATCCATTTATAGAAATATTTTTTTTTTTTTTTGCAATGTTTTTTCTGATCTTGTCTAATGATTTCTTTTTTAGTCCATGAAGTGTTTAAAAATGTGGCCAATTCCTATGACAAGATGAATGATGCCATGAGCTTTGGAATTCACAGACTTTGGAAGGACCATTTTATGATGCAATTGGCTCCAACACCAGACACAAAGCTGTTAGATGTTGCTGGAGGAACTGGTAAGGCACTTATTCTTATATCTTTATCTAGCAATACTGATGTAATGAATATGCATACACCTGGGTTCCCCCTCACAGTAATATGATTGGCTGGTGTCAGCCATAAATACAGACTGATGTGGAAGTACAGGAGGGCGCCTATTGACTATGACTATTGTCTTCATCTATTGCCTACCACTACGACGAGGACCAGTCTATAGTTACCTGCTAGATTGTCCTACCTGGTTACAGTAGTCAATAAAAACTTTGCTACTTCAAACAAATATATCCCTTTCTGGGATATATCAAATTCGATTTCTCACACGTTAAAATGTCCAGAGATAGAGTATTGGAAAGTGTAGCCTAACATGTAAGTAAAATAAGGCTGTGTGAGCAACTTTGTATTGGCCATTTGCTATACTTTTTCTGCTGATGTATTCTGTTACACAGGTAGTTTTGAAATAGTGAAATTTTTAACAAAAAATGTCTAGGGATAGTGTGTTGGCAAATGCTCACATCCCAGGATTATGTAGCGTAACATGTCAGTAGAGTGAGGTTATTCATTTTTAATCATTTCACCTGAAACAAGGCGGAAATGACACTAGTACGTAGGGGATTACAGAGAGTGAATGTTATGGCTGGCATAACACAAAATAAGAAGAACCAGATTTTTAGAAATTAATGTTGAAGAAAAGAGATAACATCTAGTAACAAAATGCAGATTTTATTTTACATACAATACAAGATATTTTAGAATACGAGTATCAGATTCTCTAGGCCCTCCTTCCTCATTATGTGTCCCAAAAACTTCAGCTGCTTCTTTCTGATATTATGTATAAAAATAATTTTTTTGCATCCTCTGTAAGACCTCATTGTTGCTCACACGCTCGGGCAATGATATCCTTAGCATCCTTCTGTAGGACCACATCTCCTTTGTCTTGAGTCTCTTCTTCATCTTTAAGGAACTTGTCTAACATTCGCTGCTGTAAAGAAGGACAGATATCAGGTAACAGTTCAGTATTATTTTCTTTGTTACCAAAGAAATCCTCCTGTCTCGTAATACTCTGCTCAGCTTTTGGAATGCATCCTAGGTCATCCCAATACATCTACGGATCTCAGTGTTGCATTTACCGTCCTCTGTCAAAACGCTTCCCAGATATTTAAATTTCTGCGTCTGCCTGATTATAGTGTTACTGACCTGCAAATCGCATTTCAGGCCCATCCGTAGCCTGACATGTAAGTAAAACAAGGCTGTGTGGGCAACTTTGTATTGGCCATTTGCTACACTTTTTCTGCTGATGTATTCTGTTACACAGGTAGTTCTGCAATAGTGAAAATTTTTAACAAAAAATGTCTAGGGATAGAGTATTGGCAAATGGTCAGATCCCAGGATTATGTAGCGTAACGTGTCAGTAGAGTGAGGTTATTCATTTTTTAATCATTTCACCCGAAACAAGGTGGAAATGACACTAGTACGTGGAGTGTTACAGAGAGTGAATGTTACCGCTGACATAACAAAAAATAAGAAGAACCAGATTCATAGAAATTAACGTTGAAGAAAAGAGATTACATCTAGTAACGAAATGCGGATTTTATTTTACATAAAGTACAATATATTTTAAAACAAAAGGGATGAGGTTTAAAACAATATAAGTTTGGAAATGCTAACGAGTTACTAAGCATGCGAAGGCCCAGAAAGTCGTTGGCTTAACATGTAACTATACAAGGGAGTGGGAGAGGAAATCCACTGTAGTTAAGATTAAGGCAGCGGATGGGAATTTGTCGCTAGTCCAAGAATTATATTATTTTCTTAAAAATAGTTTGATTAATTCACATATATATAAAATAAAAGAGTTTGGTTAATAATATCAAGGAAAAGGGGAGATGTATTTACCTATAGCCTTTTCTTTTCAAGGACTGTAGGAATTTAGATTCTTTCAGTCAAAGCTTTGTTCTTGAATCAGAAGGACCGGAGTCAACCTCAATAGTCATGGCTGTGGGTTCAGGAAGCAACTGGCTAGTTGGTACAAACTCCTGTTTATATATGTTTTTTGTACCCTCTAAGACCCAATAGAAGTTTCTAGAGACATCTAGAAAGTTCCATTCTATTATTATGAAATATAAAGGGTTTGGTGAATGGGAGCTTTTCATAAAGTAAAAAGGGCATTTAATAGCTACAGATTTAAGTCATCATTTTAAGTTAGATTTTGTATTTTATAGTATAAGCGTAAAGAAGTAGGACAAAATGGGGCCTCGTAATATAAAAGTGAGAGAAAAGACTGAGTATAGGGAGGATTGAGGGAAGGACAAAAGATGAACAGGATTCAAGAAGACAGTAAATGGCGATTGACATTACATTAACATTTTTGAAGATTGTAGTTTTCAAGGAAGTAAGTAATCAGAAGGGAGTTCTACAGGTCGGAAGTGTGAGAAAAGAAGCTGTTGGAGTAGAAATGGTGATTACATTTAACTATTTTAATGGTGAAAGGGTGGAACCTAGATGTCAACCTAGTAGCACGCTTAAATTTACGTAGTCAGGGCACCAGGGAAAAAAGCTCGACAGAGCAGTTGCCATGAAAATATTTGTAGAAAAGACAGAGGGAAGCAACTTTATTCCTGCTTTTTGTTGATGGTCTGTTCTTCTACACAAGTAATTCTGAAATAAGGAAATTTATCTAGAATGGCAAGTGGTCTGGTATCAAGGTTCTTTCTTTTTATGTGCCATGTCCTTTCAGGACATGGGCGATCATGGCTCTCCACCTCCCCTTTTCCCTTGCAGCTCTCAACAAGTTCCTTCCCTCTGCTTCTTCCTCTAGACCACTTTCTGTCATCCACTCAGTTAAGCCCGCCAGGTATGTCACACATTGTTTTCCCTTGTTTCTCTTTCTCTCTATTCAACATGTGAGTTTCAGATTCTCCAGGCCCTCTTTCCTTATTATGTGTCTCAGAAACTTCAGCTGCCTCTTTCTGATGTTAAGTATAAGCCTCCTCCTTGTTTGCATCCTCTCTAAGACCTCATTGTTGCTCACACTCTCAGTTCATGTTATCCTTAGCATCTTTCTGTAGAACCATATCTCCATCGCCTCGACTCTCTTCTTCATCTTTGAGGAAATCGTCCAACATTCACCTCCATAAAGGACAGATATCAGGTAACAGTTCAGTATTCTTTTCTTTGTTACCAAAGAAATCTTCCTGTCTTGCAATACTCTGCTCAGCTTTTGGAATGTGTCCTTGGCCATCCCAATACATCTACGGATCTCAGTGTTGCATTTACCGTCCTATGTCAAGACGCTTCCCAGATATTTAAACTTCTGTGTCTGCCTGATTCTAGTGTTCCCGACCTGCAAATCGCATTTCAGGCTCATCCTTTTTACTAATGACCATGCATTCTGTCTTCTTGTAGTTTATGCTTAGTCCCTTCTTCTCGCTCTCCATCGCTACCTTCTGTAGGAGATTTTGTAATTTCTTTTCCGTGTCTGCTATCAGTACTGAGCAACTTTGTACTGGCCATTTGCTGCTCTTCACCGCTGGTTTGTTTTGTTACACAGGTACTTGTGAAAGAGGGAAATTTATTGAAAATATCCATGGATAGATTATCAGCAAGTGGTCTGGTACCAGAGTTACATAGCCTTACATGTAAGTAGCTTATGGCTGTTCATATGAGGAACTTTGAAAATCAACAGGATTTGATTTAGTTACCACTGTTTTGAAAAAGGATTTTTTTGTAGTTTCCATAGGCAATAGGCACACATATACAAATAATGAACACAGAAATTTTATGAAACTAATAATTTCTGTTATTGCTACTAATCTAAAATTGAGATGATTCATAATTGTTACCTATTTGATCTTCCATATAAAAGAAATAATCTAACAGCTATGAAAATATGAAAATAAAATTCTTTTAATTACATTTCTTAGGTGAAAATACCCTGAAACCTTAATTTTTTCAATTCCTCAAATACATCTTAATCTAGTAAAAAAGATGTCTTTCATCATCAACAAATGGAAAAATTTCAAAACTGCACAGTAAATTTAATTAAAATTTAATATATATATATATATATATATATATATATATATATATATATATATATATATAAAAATTTACTGAGTTATTTCTGATGAAAAATTGAGGACAATTTGAAATATCAAATATATATATGGCATTACGGGTCAATTATATAACATAATACAATCATTTCTGTCAAACCGTGAATTGAAGGTCGTTCACAACGGATTCTCCTCCAGTTCCTACCCCACGAACGCAGGTGTTCCTCAAGGCACCATCCTAGGCCCCACTCTATTCCTTATCTATATAAATGACCTTCCTGACGCCGTGAATATTCTTTAGTCGGCATCTACGCAGATGACACCACAATTTATTCCTGCCTCAAAAAACAAATCCAGTCTCGCTGACAAAACTCACCTTGCCGTGCGTCTCGAAAAGGACCTCCAATCGATTGTGAACTGGGGCATGATTTGGCTGGTCAACTTCAACGCTTCGAAGACAAAACTGCTCTCTATTAATCACCACAGAGAGCCTTCCTTCCCTCCATTATAATGTCTGACGCTCAACTTCCCGAGAGCAACTCTCTGCGGCTTCTCGGTCTCACGTTGACTGCTGACCTGAGATGGAATAAATACATCGAGTCAATTGCCTCGTCCACTGCAAGGAAAGTTGGCTCCCTGAGCCGTGCTAGGAAGTTTTTCTCCCCTGAGTCGATCCTCCAGATATACAAATCCACAATTCGCCCTTGCATGGAGTATTGCTGCCATATATGGTCTGGCGCCCCTTCTGTTTGCCTCGGGGTTCTTGATAGGCTCCAAAGGCGAATATGCAATATGGTTGGCCCTGCCCTGGCGTCTCGTCTACAGTCACTTTCTCACAGACGCACCGTCGCATCCCTCTGTCTGTTCTACAAATACTTTCATGGAAATTGCTCCGAGGAACTGCATTCGCTGGTTCCCAAACTTCATGAGTTCAAGCGCCCTACGAGGCTGGCATCCCGCTCTCACCC